CGAATGGGACAGAGGTAGCCAAGTATAGTTTAATAAATAAATAATGTAATATAACTGTTATTAAGTCAATATTTAAATATGTACATAATTATGTGTATTATATGTATGTTATTATTTAATTATTAATTTAATTTAATATTTTGCTCATCGCTTTGCACCGTCAATTATATTTTCCGTTATTGCTGTCTACGGTCGACTGGTAGATAACGCCACATTGTGTTAAGTCCGCCATTTACACTATCTTTGTGTATTAAAGTTTAATAAATAAATAACTAAATAAACACTCCCTTCAAAGTGTTCTAAAATTTCAATTTTGAATCACTTCTACCGAGTTATTTTTAAAAATTACTGATCCGTGGTGCTTCCAAATAAATCCCAATCCAATATTAGATCACAGGGCTGGTTGGCACTGCACTGTCCAAATCTAAAAGGTTTAAACGTAAGGATGTTATCAGTTTGGAATTCAATTTATTTTGCAAATGGTTGCCAGCCCTCGGGAAGTAGATGTAGTGAGGGAGGCTATGGGATTCGATTACCATTTATTTATAGCGTGTACCTATGGTTTTTTGATTTTTTTTTCTACACTAATATTATAAGGAGGAAAGATTTGTATTTTTGTGTGTATGTATGTTTGTAATGAATAAACTCAAAAACTACTTTGCCGATTTAAAAATTTTCTCACCATTAGAAAGCTACATTCACCCTGAGTAACATAGGCTATATTTATTGCTAGAAAAGATTAGGGATCCTTACTAAAACTTTAGTAACGTAACTCCAGGGTGTACAAAAAATGCTATAAAATATCTTTGGTCGCGTGCGCTGCGGAAACTGTTGCTGATAGAACAAAAGTATGTTCTACAATATTGAAGAAAATATCGATAACTATAAAAAACTTGGCGACACTATATGTCCAACTACTATCGTTATGTCACAACGACCACTTTTTAAAATGTTGTAATAATGTCCACCCGTGCGAAGCCGGGACGGGCCGCTAGTTCCTACATAAATCACATTTCTAAATTAACTCTTGAGGACTTACAACTCTGGGATACGCTGCCTATTACCATGACAGAAGTGTTTGACATATTTGTTTTTGACAAAGTCTATGAATCTCTTATGAAGAAGCTAAGAGAGTAGTTCATCATCATCATCTTCATTACCTTTGATCACTAGCACTTTTTTGTCACTTTTTGGTCACTTTATTGATGTTACAATGATTTGTCATATATGTTTTTATGTAATGAGAAATTCGGTATCTTTCATCAGAGTACTATTGGGTTTAAGGGGTCGTTGTATGATTTTGAGATAGGATAAGTTTGGATCATAACTTTTTTTTTTTACAACACAGGGGGCAAACGAGCATACGGCTCACCTGATGGTAAGTGACTACCGCCGCCCATGATCACCCACAACACCAGCGGCATTGCAGGTGTGCTGCCGGCCTTTTAAAAAAGAATATACTCTTTTCTTGAAGGTTATGTTGTCGTATCGGTTCGGTAATACTGCTGCTGGAAGTTGATTCCAAAGAATGGTTGTGTGTGGAAGAAAGTGCCTTGAAAAACGCACGGTGGAAGACCGCCACTCGTCCAGATGATTGGGATGAAACTTTAGTTTGTGGCGGGTTGTACGGTGGTGAAAATCAGCAGCAGGTATCAATCCGAACAGAACTGTAATCAGTAATGTAGTACATCTATAAATATGTTACAATGAATGAATGAATGAATGAATGAATGAATGAATGAGTATACTTTATTTGCATTATACAATATAGGAAATAAACAAGACAATTTACAAACACAACGATACAATTGTATAAGTACAGTAAGGCGGTCTTATTGCTGAGAGCAATCTTTTCAAGACAACCTTAAGGTAATGGACTAATTGTTGTACAAGTAGGTATAATAGTGCTCTATAATTAAAAAAGTATGTTTACTTCTAACTTAGTGTTAAACGATGTTTACAATGTAAGGTTGGCAAACTGCGTATTGAATACATTTTTGTATTGTTTTCTTTTTAATGGTTCATTTCTGTTTGCAAACTGTTATTGTAACTTGTAACAAATAAATAAATAAATATATATTTGTATATTTATGTATTATTTGTTTAATGTATTCATGTATGTGTATTTGTATGATCATAAAGTACAGTAGGTCTCCATGTGTATGTGTCGTGATTTGTAAGTCAACATCGATACGTACGCGTCAATATTTATTTGGAACAATTTTCAATTTTATCACCGCATAATTACGTTTCTGTTTTGTCAAAAGTTGACTGCGAGAGAATGCTATATAGTATTAAGTCCGCCTTTTGTACCAGACATTTTTCAAAATAAATTCCTGTTTATTAGTTTATTTAATTGTTACAAAAAATTTGCAATGATATTTAGGTATATTTACCCCACAGCTTTGTCACGCGACACCAACCGGTATTCTGCGTTAAGGCCATAAATGAAATTGTTGGAACTAATGTGTTTTTAATGAGATGTTACATTGCATTGAGCAGGTGGGCCCTCAGAATGTTATCTCACAGCTTCAGGGCTAGTAACAGAGATTTCTCCTCTCAACCAATTGATTCGAATTCATATCATCTTTATTTAAATAGGATTGTTTACAAGCACTTTTTAATCGTAATTTTATTTTTAACCTACTGCAGGTTTCGGAAGGTTGTTATCTGTCGAGAAGAGCCCGCAAGAAACTCGACAGTTACTCTTTTAAATCTCTGTTAACATTATTTATTTATTTTTTGGAAAACGTACAGTTAATGTACAGTCAATACATAATCAAATTTATATAAGCAATGAATCGTTTTCACATTTGCGTAATGACACAATTGATCGGTTTTTATATATGCAAAATACATACATACACACACATACACATACATACATATACATACATACATATATATATAAATACATATACATATATATATATATACATACATACATATATATACATATATACACACATACATACACATACACACGCATACATACACACATTTATATTTATATAATTTATTTAAAATATTTATATAAAATAGATAGATAGATAGATACTCTTTATTGTTCCCTCCATAAGATTACAATAATAAACTTATTATAGATATAAACAATTACAAGAAATTAATATACACTTGTCATCCTTCAATGGTGCCAGTGTATACCGACAGCGCAGGCGGGGTTACTATTCCATTATCATCCATTAAAAAAGACCTATGTTAATCACCTATCATCCCTTACTGGAGCATATACTTATAGCGCGGGCGAGGATTTTTTATGGGTGAACATGGAATGGTAACCCTGCCCGCGCTACCAGTATAGGCTGACCCCGCCAGTGAAGACTGACAGGTGAGAATGAAGGCAGGTCAGTCAGTGAGAAGGAAGGTCAGTGGGCCGACAGTGATCAATTGAACAAGAATTAACCACTATGGTTTCCAGGGGAACGTAGAGATCGACCTGATAGGGTATATTGCTAGCAATGGGGTTGTTAAATTTCATTATTAAGAAACCCTTTCCCCTTAACAATTCCTTTCACCCCGCGCGGTCAGCGATACCATAAACCTACATTAATCACCTATCATCCCACACTGGTGCCCCGCCAGCGTATACCGATAGCGCAGGCGGGGTTTTTTTAGGTTAAAAAAAAGTAGATGAATTAATTTGCATAATGAAACCAGAGTGATGTAGCTAGAAAAAATAAAATGAGGCCTTCACGTGTCCCACGCACGGTACATGCAAATTTTTTCCATGAAAAATAAATTGAAAATTTTAAAAATATTTCTACCTCATTGTACCACAGTGTACCGGCAACCGTAGTTAGGCTTTGGTGATGTCTTTATAAGGACGTTACTCTCAAACCCTTAAAGTCCGGGGGGAAAGGGATTGTTAGTAATGGAGACTAAAAATCCCATTGCTAGCAATATACCCAACCAGGTCGACCTCCACGCGGTTCCCCCTGGAAACTATAATGGTTAATTCCTGTTGAATTCATCATGATGGGCTAACTGACCTGTTTTCATTCTCATCTATCACCCTTCACTGGTGCTCCGCCAGCGTATCCCGTTAGCGCAGGCGGAGTTACCATACCATTTTCATCTACCAAAAAAAACCCTTAATGTCCAGGGGAACTCGATATATAGATATTGCTGTCCATATTTCTCATGATTACTGCTAAGTATAGGTTTCCCCCTATTTTTTTTTAATGAGTGATAATGGAATGGTAACCCCGCCTGCCCTAACGGTATACGCTGGCGGGACACCCGTGAGGGATGACAGGTTAGATTGAAAAGGCAGGTCAATTAGCCAATCGTGATGAATACACTTGGTATTTAGCACAATGGTTTCCAGGAGGGACCACGTGGAGATCGACCTACTAGGATATATTGCTAACAATGGGTCAGTTAGACCCCATTACTAACAATCCCCTTCCCCCTTTTTTTTAACTAGGGTGAAAATCTTCAGAAAAAGACCCATCCGCGGGACGACGAATGGATACTGTGGGATTTTTACCCACTAAAAACACCCCGGTATTCCTCTCAGCGCCATATCCCCTTCTCCCCTGGCAGGCAGGTTGACAACCATAGTTAAGTTTTGGTGATGTTTTATAGGGGAATCGCTGCTAAACCCTTGACCTTTTAGTTCTCTTAGTCGCCTCTTACGACATCCACGAGTCGGGAAACAGTGAATCATTCTATGCTGAAACCACACGGCTTAAAGTCTTTATATAGACGGACATAACTGCGTGATATATATATGTACACGGGCGTAGCCGCGAAATTCCTTACAAATATGTATAAATATATAAAAAACTGTATTATATACAATAATAAATCCACATTCAGTTGGCTAATAGAAATACAATGTAACACTTTGATGCATTAAAAGAATCAATTGTACCTATATATTGTATATATAAAATCATTTATTTCCACAGTTATTATATTTAAAAACATATTTACATGTATATACATTAATTATATATATAATATACATATCTTACCTTAAACACCATTTAATACACAAACAAAACACTGATTTTATGAAAGAAAAGAAATTTTCACCATAGTTCATTGTAAACCTGCCATCTTGAAGGTCTGACTCCGACCAATTCGTAACGTGCTTTCACAACTGATACATCAATAATATTATAATTAATAATTAATATTAACACTTGGTTAAATGATAAAGGAAATAAATTTGATATTTTCACGAAAAACACATAGGTTTCCCTTGAAAATTTTACAAATCTGTCGCTCTACCGCGACGCGTGTGCACTTAGCGCGATCGTCCACTACTGAGCCAAACGCCAGTTCAATATCCAAGAATGTTCGAAAGGGACGGCCGTATATATGAAAGGGACAGTGTTTCAGCACCACCATATCCTAATTTCAGTATAATGTTTAATTTGTTTTTATAGAAATCTGTTAATTGCATAATTATCTACGAATTGAATTCTTGTCAGCGCCTTGGAGATGTGAATAGCAAAAAGATTGGTATTTCTTTTAGTACAGTGGGCAGTTTTAGCACGCGTGTCTACCGAAGGTCAATAAACCGTATCACCTCCTTTAATGGGAAATATTACTTAAGCAAATGTCATTCGGATCCAATCGGTAATCACTTGTCTACGTGTTCACATTTTATAACAGGTTACGTTTGTTTTTACAACTAAATTTAGATATAAATTTATCTTAAACCGTGGTGGCTCAGTGAACCAAAATCGACTATAATATATATTGTAATAAATGAATGTATTATGGTCACGTTTGACATTCGGTAAGACTATAGACAAGTAATATTAAAGATAAAAATTATTAATCTATTCTCAATTCGACCACAGATTGACAATAAACCGAAAGAGTTTCAAAAATGAATAAGCGTATGTCAAATACATGGTAGTTGGGGGGGCAAGGGATTTTTAGTAAAGCGGTTTAGTAGCCCTATTGCTAGCCATATACTTTGACAGGTCGACCTCTTCGTGGCTGCTCCGGGAAGCCATCGTGATTGATTTATTGTTAGATTCATCACGGTGGGCTAACTGACCTATCTTTTCATCCTCACCTATCATCTCTCACTGGTGCCCCGCCAGTGTATACCGATAGCGCAAGCAGGGTTACCATTCCATTATCATTCATTAAAAAAAATACATAATAGTGTGTGTACTTTTTTTTTTACTGATTTAATGTATTTTTATGCATAATTTAAAAAAATTAAATCTATATTATATATATATACTCCTTACATACATACATACATATCTGTCACGCCTGTCTCCCATTAGGGTAGGCAGAAACAATGGAACGCCAAATGCTTCGATTCGAACAAACCTCTTTCTATACTCCTTCTCTATATAAACTATAAGTGTGCCAAATTTCATACTGCTCCGTACACGCAATTTTCAAAAAAAGGGGTACAAAAAGGGTTTTACGTATTGGTACATAGATTAAATACCTCCGGCAAACTTGGTACAAAATTGTAACTTTAAATTTGACCAATTAAAACTCTGACAAAACAAAATTAATTGAAACTAAAACTCTATTAATTTAAACTAGGTTAACATTAAAACTGTGTCAATTTTAACTTTTTTGTTTTATACAACTTAGAATGGCAAACAAGCTGACGGCCCACCTGATGGAAAGTGACAACCGTCGCCTATAGACATGAGCAGTACCGTGGACATAACAGAGTATACTGTTTCGTCCATGATACCCCCAAACGTTACCATTCCTGAGGACTCAGGTGTTATTCCTCTGTACCCAGTAAATTCACCGCCATATTCCTTTAAACAGGAATACATGAGTTTACTGCGGGTTCTTCTCAGCTGGTAACTACATTCCGAACCTTACAATATAACCATAAAAGATGATTTAAAAAAGTTTGTAAACAAGTGTATTTGAATAAAAATGATTTTGAATGTAACAAGCCATACATACATACGATAATGATGCTACGCTCATGTCTACGAGCGTAGGCAGCTACGGCGTAGCATTTACGTAGGAACAATCTACGAAAACGCTGTGCCGTAAGCGATTCTAAGAATACGTGGGACGATGCTGCGGCATAGCAAACTAGTATATATATATATATATATATATATATTATACATAATTTACATTGGACACATTAAAAAAAATATACAATGGCGGACATATCCCATAAAGGTATCTCTTATAGTCGACCTTTGAGAAGCTGAAAGAAAACTGTAGAATGTACAAGGGTAAAAACTGTACAGCTAAATATAAACTCAATAAATTTCCGTGTGGTCCCGGCATAGAATAGGCCATCGCTTCCTTTCCCGTAAGTGGCGACTAAGGGAAGGCGAGAAGTAGGCAGCAGCGTCCCTTTTAAAACATCTGTAAAGCCTAACTGTGGTTGCCAACCCGCCTGCCAAGCGTGGCAACTACTGGCAAAGCTCCCCTTATGGGGAAGGCTTATGTCCAGCAGTGGACAGTTAACGGCTGAAATAATAATAATAAAAAAATGGCACACGCATGAAAAAAGCAACTTTCTACCATCGTACGGCTCGCCATCGGCAGGGAGTTCATCCTCATACCCTACAGCCTAGATGGTCGCGTACAACGCGGTTTCAGAAATGTTTCCTCCTACGAACACTCAGGTTGTGGAATGAGCTCCCTGCCGAGATTTTCCCAAGAGACTACAGCATGCGGTTCTTCAAAAGGGGGATAAAGAGGCTTCTTCAGGGTCGGCAACGCGCGCGTAATACCTCTGGTATTGCAGGTGTTCATAGGCTACGGTAACCACTTACCATCAGGTGGGCCGTATGCTTATTTGCCACCTCAGTGGTATAAAAAAAAGAAGGAAATTGTTGTTTTATATATTTTGCTTTTTGTTGTAATTTTTTGTTGTTTTTTTTATGTTTTTAAGTCTTTTATCTCTTTTACTGTGTTGTGAGTAATGCAAAATTTTTTTTTACAGCACAGAGGGCAAACAAGCATGCGGCTCACCTGATGGTAAGTGACTACCGCCGCCCATGATCACTCACAACACCAGCGGCATTGCAGGTGTGCTGCCGGCCTTTTAAAAAGGAATATGCTCTTTTCTTGAAGGTTATGTTGTCGTATCGGTTCGGAAATACTGCTGCTGGAAGTTGATTCCAAAGAGTGGTTGTGCGTGGAAGAGAGTGCCTTGAAAAACGCACGGTGGAGGACCGCCACTCGTCCAGATGGTTGGGATGAAACTTGAGTTTGTGGCGGGTTGTACGGTGGTGAAATTATCTATCTATCTGTCTATCCTATAAAACAAGGCAAATCCATAACGCAATGTCGGGAAATTGTAAATCCTTTTTTTAACAATGTATTGTTCAAGTATGTACATGATGCACTGTATGTTATACTAATAAACATATGCATACCCAAAGAGGTACATCATTCGTAGACAATCGGCAATGTTCGGAAGCAGTCGGCCGGGTATCGATCTTACTACGAGCACTGAATGTTCTTGATATTTGTATTTAATAATAATTGTATTTCATTTAAAGAGATTTATCGAGCAAGAATGAATGGAGATGTCGGTAGGGGCCGCCCTAGATGGACGTATGTTGACTAAATAGGCGACGTGCTGAAGAAGGGCCAAATTAAAAGTACCCGTAACCTGCGAGCGTGTATGAAAAGATTGATGAATGTGGAGCAAGCGAAAGATGTTTGTTTAAATCGAAGCGTTTGGCGTTCCATTGTTTCTGCCTACCCTAATGGGAGACAGGCGTGACAGATATGTATGTATGTATGTATGTATTTATTTCATTTATTTTTTGATCAATAGGTAGAGAACAATGGATGGTAAAAAATGAAAAGTTCTCTACGATCAAAATCATACACAGCTAGTATGTATGTAAATTTGTATGCCTCAATACAAATTTACATACATACTAGCTGACTCGGCAAACGTTGTCTTACCGTATACATTATTTCTAGAACTATACACGAAAATTTATCGTACTACAATTATTGTATTCGATTGTCATCTTGCAGCCCTATTGCGGAATATAAAAATCGCGATTAAAAACAGGGGTTGATCGTAAAATCATGAAAATTTGAATTTGTATATATTTTTCAACGCTAAATCATAATAAAAATAAAAATTTTGTCAAAAAATAAAAAAAATAATATTCAGGGATGGGTCACCCTTATCATTGAGGGGTATGAAAAATAGATGTTGACCGATTCTCAGACCTATCCGATATGCACACAAAATTTCATGAAAATCAGTAAAGCCATTTCAGAGGAGTTTGGTAACGAACACCGCGACACGAGAATTTTATATATTAGATATATACATGAAAAAAAAACAAAAGAAATACAATAATGTCATTTAAGATATAAAAAGCACAGATTATAGAAATTTATTACAATTATCTCCAAGGAAATCTTTAATTGAATAGTATGTTTTGTTCACTGGGTAGTCATAGAGTTTACTTTTGAAATTTTTTATGTCAGCTATATCTGCCATCCCTAAGGCATTTATATATATATATATATATATATATATATATATATATATATATATATATATATATATACCTAAGAACGCCTGTGTTAGATATTTATTTCAAATTATATTATTTTCTCAAACATTTTGTCAAAATGTGTACCTACATTTATTAATAAAAATCAAACTAACTACTTTAAAAATAATAAAATAGTAAAATTGTTATTATACCAAATTTTGTAATAAATTATTCTTGTAATGTATATAGAACACTAATTTATATTTTAATTGATTTTATAATTATTTATTGTCATGATACTTGAATAAAAAGTAATGAAATTGTAAGAACACGTGGTCTCGTTGACTTGTTCACTCGAAATCGGCCCTGTAGATATAAAAAATTGTCATTTGGGTGGGGAGACACTTCTTGTCCAACCGTTGAACAGAGCGGAGCTCCCTGACGTATCAAGAGTGAACAAGTATAGTGAACCACGTGGCCATTGTATAAAATATATCACAATTATTGTTGATGGAAGTCTTAAAGAAGCTGTAGTTAAATAAGTGTCAATGAATTAACAGAAGTTGGGTATTTATGTTAAAATGCTGGAAGTTGATAATTAATTAATTAATGTTAATATTATTAAGGATTAATAGGTATAGATCAAAACTATTACATCCTAGTACACGTACTTCCTAGACGTACTACGTTCGTCCTCTCTCTGTCTCTATTCGTATAGCCGTCTCGCTCGCACTATGCGTATTGTGTCAGGTCAGGTTTGACAGGTGGATGGGACGGTTTGTATGACTGGGTTAAATGTAATATTCACTTGTATACTAGCCG